TAACGTAGGTTCAGTATAATCTAGTCCCTACGTAATCTAGGTCTAGCACGAGGTGTGTAGGTACTATGTAGCTTGAAGTTGAGATAACGCGGAAATTCCGCGGCAAGTTAAGTTCCGTATAACCTTCGAATGGTGTAATTTCAGTATCGATTAATCTCAAAGATTCTCATATCACGAATTCCTCTTTTCACGTTTTTTTTTTCTCATTTATTTTTTATTTCTTTGCCTCTCCATTTTTTCTTTCTTTTTTTTTTTTCTTCTCTTTTTTTCTTATTATTATTACCATTTTCTTTTCGCAAGTACAAGGCGATCGCAGTTCGAACCTAAGCGAGAAGACGCGTGTTAATCGAGGCCTGAACGCGTCCCTAGTTAAAAACCGATCACGTAGGCCATATCAGCCGACTAATTGTTGATTATGCAGCCGTTTGTCTTGGCTCTCGCTATATACGCGACGACGATACGCCTAATAAATAATGTAGGTGTCGTGGATCTCTAGTCTCTTTTCATGTGCTGTGCTGCTAGTCGAGGCACCCATTCGGAATTACATATGCACACCTGCGCTGTGTGTTCGAACGTTGTAAACCGACGTACACCTTACGCCGGAGCGGTTGTATTGGTACCGTTGCCACCGGATCCTCCATCCCGTGTAAACGGCCTTAAGCCTCTTACGTCAGGTTTCCACGAGTGGGTACGCCTGATAATTACCAATTAGTGGGTGCCAATTAAAACGGGAAGCTTTCGATCGTACCGCTTTCGCGATCCCCCCAACCAGTTCTGTTCCATCGCCAAGATTTACTCGTCGCGATGAATTTCGGCTTTCCTCTATTCCTCTCTTTCTCTTTCACCGCGCTTCTATTTACCGTGCGTATCGTCGTCGACATAAGCGGCTTCTTTGTTTGAGCACCACGAAGTCAGAGAAATTTACTTTGTAACCGTTTAGTCATCCACCGTGTAAAGATACCACGATTTCACGCGGAACAGCGTAATTACGCGAAAAGTGGCCATTTTTCTTTCCCT